GGTGATTTGCCGGGGGACCTCGCAGGACTCAGCACACACAGCACAAAGGCGCACGGGGAAAAGTCGAGGGGCACCAGGCACACGTTTCCAGAGCCCCTCCCAGTGGAGTCATACAGGATGCACTTCACTCCCCAGCTAGGAGCTGTGACAACACATGTGATGTGTCGCCCCCCACTCCCGCCCCCACCCAGGGACCCATCAGAGATCACGGTTTCTATCAGGGCCCGGTCCCGTGGGCACCCTCTGCCTGGCTCGTACCCAAATTCCAGACCCCCAGGCAGAGCAGGTATTCAGCACAAGCCATAGTATTTGCACAGTGTACGCCCATTGGGGCCCTCCTATCACCTGGTGGGAACCCCAAAATCCACATTCCCAGACAACAGCCAAGGGCTCATGCTGTGAGCAGGCCTAAGGGCGGCCGTGCCGGGCCTGTGGTGCTAACTCCCAACTACACAGGGCCCGTGGCATCCATCCTTCTGGAGTGTGGGGGCTGGAGACAGTCTGGGTCCAGGGAAGTCGCCCCGAAAGGTGGCTCTTCCCCCGGGGTGGATCACTCAGCCCTTATGTCCTTGACACTGTGCTCTGTTTTGGACACACACGTAGCCAGAGGCACCGCCTCGACCGCCGAAGGCCAGGAACATGCGGGCCTGGGGAAAACCACAGGCCGCGCTCGTGGGGGATGTCAGGCAGGGGTCTTTGTTGGAAAGCACAGAAATGCATCCTGGTTAAGTTAATAAAGAAAAGAATTTATTGGAGGAACCGATAGCTCGTGGGATGAGGGACGATAAAGAAACCAGCTCGGGAATCAGTGGGGGAGCAGGGGCCACACAGGGTCCAGGGGTGACGCTGCGGATACTGTATCTTCTCTCCCTCCACTCCACATACGGTCCGAAGGCTGCGGGAGGCCCGGCTGGGGTCACTGCCAACCCAGGCTGAGGAGGCAGGGCACGCTGATTTGGGAAGTCAGCACTTGAGCAAACGAGTGAGCTGTTTGTAGGAGGACAGATGCAAAATGGGGTTGGTGACCGGTGTCCACTGCAGGGACCCAGGAAAGGGGACCTGACACCTGTCTCGGTGCTTTGTAAAGAACCCACAGTGTGTGGAGGAACTCTCGAGATTCAGGATGCCCTTAAAAAGATCGCTCAGCGGCAACACTCCTGGCCCGAGGCAGGGGTGCAGCAGGCAGGGCGGGGGCACACAGGGCGGCAGAGCAGGGACACACAGGAGGCCGGGCGGCAGCAGGAGGAGGCAGGGGCGCAGCAGGCGGGCCTGCACACGGGGCGGCAGAGCAGGGACACACAGGAGGCCGGGCGGCAGCAGCTGGGCTGGCAGGGGGAGGCAGGGGTGCAGCAGGAGGAGGCAGGGGCGCAGCAGGCAGGGCGGGGGCACACGGGGCGGCAGAGCAGGGATACACTGGAGGAGGGTCTGCAGCAGGGGCTGGGCTGGCAGCAGGAGGAGGCTGAGCAGGGGGAGTCCTCGCAGCACACAGGGGTGCAGCAAACAGGCTTGCAGCACACAGGGGTACAGCAGTCTTCCTGGCAGGGGGAGGAGGTGCAGCAGGACGGCTGGCAACATGAAGAGGTTGTGCAGGGGGAGTCCTCGCAGCACACAGGGGTGCAGGAGAAGAGCTTGCAGCAGACAGGGGTGCAGCAGACGGGCTTGCACACGGGGCGGCAGAGCAAGGACACGCAGGAGGAGGGTCTGCAGCAGGGGCTGGGCTGGCAGCAGGAGGGGGCTGAGCAGGGGGAGTCCTTGCAGCACACAGGGGTGCAGCAGACGGGCTTACAGCACACAGGGGTGCAGCAGACGGGCTTGCAGCACACAGGGGTGCAGCAGACAGGCTTGCAGCACACAGGGGTGCAGCACACGGGCTTGCAGCACGCAGGGGTGCAGCAGTCTCCCTGGCAGGGGGAGGAGGGGCCGCACAGGAGGGTCAGGCAGGGGGCCGGGGCGCAGCACGGGGGCTCGCAGCAGCTCTCTGGGCAGTCGTCCACCTGCCAGGAGGAGTCGGGGCAGGAGTCTGAGGATCCGGGCAGGCAGACGCGGCTGTCATAGCTCAGGTCGCTGGAGCAGACGGACAGGGTGGACGCGGCCATGGCGGGGGCGGTGGGGCTGGAGGAGGGAGTGTGTGTGTGTGGAGTGTGTGTGTGTGAGGGTGTGAGGAGCTCCGGCTGTCTGTCAGCTTTTATACCTCCCAGCTGCGTGTTGTCCCAGCCGACGGCTCACACGGCTCCTTCCTTGTTGGTGTTTGCAGCCCAGGGGACTCTCATTAGTTCCAGGTTTATGTTTGGTTCTATGAGATGTTGCTTAGCTATAAAACTCCTAGTACATTTTTGAGTCTGTTGACGCACCCTGAGCATCCAGAACGTGCGTTGAGCTAGAAAAGGTGTGAGTGTGCAAATAACATGTTCTGTGGCTGCGTAAGAAATCCAGATATTCTAATTCCTTCTGCCCTTTTGAGGCATGTGGATGGGTTTTGCATTCACGGGGGGGATCCGCTTGTCAGGGTGGCACAGCTTCCAGAGTGCCAGGCTAGAGGAACCAGGGTCAACGGGGGTATGTGGCCAGAACTTTCCTGGTCATGACCCCCCGGAACTCTGTGTGGTGCCTGAGGGCACTGGTCAGGTGGCAGGCAGGGAAAGGTGGGACAGTCAGGTGTCCTTGGGTGGCCGTGCATGCCCCTGTCCTCTGCCTGAGCACTCACTGAGGTCGGAGATGCCATCTGTCCATGGCCTTCTGATTCCCACTTGCATTTACCCCAAACGCTGTGAAGCGTGAGTACAAACGGACCCCCTGTTTTCTCCCTGAAGAAAGCGTAGCCTCAGCTGAGCCTCTGTATGGAAAACAGTGACTGCTTTTGCGCTGATCAAATCCTGTTGATTTTCTTGATTGTGAACTGAAAAATTCCTCGGGTGACTGCAGCCAGGTACGTCATGCAGGCCCCTTCCTTTCTTCTGCAGGTGCTATCCAAGTGGCCACCACGTGCTTTGGGGGTCCTCTGCTGGATGAGTTTCCATCCTCTCCGGTCCTGGAACCTTCCAAGCATGAGTTTATTCACTGTGGAGCCACGGCCTCCCCACCGTGTGCTGGAAATGTGGGCTAGCACCAGAATTGAACCTTCAGTGGGCCCTGCTGGCCTGGCACAGGGAGCCTTGTGGGCCAAGGAGGCAGGCTCTCAGTGCCCTGTGATACCAGAGAGAAGCCGACTCAGCAGCAGGGCAGGAGAGGCACCCCAGTGGGAGGGCCTGTGACGCCCCCGCCCTGGGAAGTCCCTGGGCTCAAATTCTCACCTTTCCCTTCCTCCCTTCTTTCCAGCAATGGTTCTTACCCCGGTGAGAGGGGTTCATGACAGTCCAGGAAGGGGTTGTGAGAATGCAGTTAAACTGCGGGCCGAGTCGTCTTTCTGTATGTCTCGAGCTATAAAAATAAGATAGAGTCGAGCCTGGCATCCTGTGCTCAGGCCCCTCTGGAGGTACAGGAAGTGATCCATAAGCTGGACGCGCGTGGCCGAGCAAGGGGGGCGGGGTGTTTGCCTTCCAATATGCTCCTGCTGAGGACAGCATAAAATACAAAAACGTCTGCGTAAGGCCTTTGAAGGCTGCTGATGAGACTCAGCATTGAGAGTCAACAGGTGGAGATGGGGTGACTTCCGAGAGGTGAGCTGGCATCTCTGAATGGCTTTTCCTGAGGTACCACTGATGAATCTTGGTGTGGGGTTCGAGGGGAAGTAACTAGCACATAGAGAGGCCGGCAGAGCTTCTAGAAACCTTGGGGGGGGGGTGGAGAGAACTGTGGCAGCAGAGGCAGCGCGGACTCTAGGGGACAAGCCTAGATCAGTGGCGGGCACCAGGGGGAGCCCCAAAGCTGCAGGTTAAACGTCCAGGCATTTGGCATGCTTTCATGCCATGCGGGAAAGATGCTGAGGAAGCCAGCAGAAAGCCAGGACAGCCTGAGCAGAGCCTTTACAGCCTCAACCAAGGAGGCAACGACTCTGATGACTGGCCAAGGCGGAATGGCTCTGGGTGGACCCCTGGACAGCTAAATCCCAGGAGCAGCCTCACGTCAGTGAGTCCCTTGCCCCCACTCAGGCCACCAGCCAGAGCGAGAGGTGAAACTCTTTGGAAGGAGACAAACTCATCCACAGCTGCCAGAATTTTTCATAGACGATGTCAAACACTCAATCAAGAATGACAGTCACGCCAACAGAAAAAACGGATGATAGAAACAAACCTGAGATGACAGGGGTGGAGTCCTCGGACAGAGACTTGCAAAACAATGGTGGTGAATGTGCTCAGGGAAACGGGTGTGACACCGTAAAACTGAAACACGCGTGAAGAGACAAGTAGACATTCTAGACTGAAGGGAACAGGAGCGGCGTTCATCGACCCCTAGGTGGGTGTTGCGGTAGCACGGGTGGCGGAAGGGCCAGACAGCGGAATGGAACAGTGGGGCGGCGTGTTTAAGGGCAAAGGAAAGGGCTGCGCAAGCGGACTATCGCTCCCCAAGAGCGCCACCCAGAGGTGAAGGTGCCCCAACACATCGCCAGACCAACAGAAATGGAGCACGGGCCACACCGGAAGATCCACTTTAAAGTAACTCCCAAGGGAGGGTTTCCGGTAGGACGGCGAGGGACAGAAATGCAAGAAGGTTGAAGAGAGCCTGGAAGGGGAAACAGAAGCACAGTTGAAGTGACCAATGGCCCACGTTTCCATTCACAACGTTACAATATGTATTCTATTTACAATTTCCCGTGGGCTCTAAACTGTAAGTGGAAATGAAACCACGCATCATGAGAAGGACGAGGCCCTTAGGCTGTTGCTCTGGAGGCGGCCCAAGCGCCCAGGTCCCTCAGACTTGAATATCCCAGGAAGGTACGCTGTGGCCTCTGGGGCAGCCGCCGAGACAATCCCCAAACCGCGTACAACTAGTATTGAGTGAAAGACGGGAGATAAGTGATAAAAAATACCCAAAGCAGTCAGGAAATGAGTTTTAAATTTTTTTCAATGTGTATTTATTTTTTGAGAGAGAGAGAGAGAGAGAGAGAGAGAGCATGAGTGGAGGAGGGGCAGAGAGGGAGACACGGAATCTGAAGCAGGCTCCAGGCTCTAAGCCATCAGCACAGAGCCCGACGCGGGGCTCGAACTCACAAACCGCGAGATCATGACCTGAGCCAAAGTCGGACGCTCAACCGACTGAGCTACCCAGGCACCCCGGGAAATGATTTTTAAAAGGAACATAAAAATTTGAGAGAAATAGAAGACGTGCACTCAGATAGTAGACATAAACCCAATTATCAATAATGAAATTAAATGTAAAGTATTAAACCGTTCGATTTACAAAGAAGGACCGTTAGTCTGCATGGAAATCACGAAAAACCTGTGTGCTGATTCCAAGAGCTAGATCCTAAATATAAGGGCATGAGAATGATGGAAGGGCAAAGATGGGAAAGAATACAAGTCAATACACAGGACAGTGTGAAGTTCTACGCAGCTGCAAACTAGAAAGAGAAATCGTTACATATTCATGGGAGCTGCACGTTGTATTAAGTTATGAAAAAGCCAAGTGGGTAAAACACAATACAGTCTGTATTTTGAAAACGGGTACACACAAATCCATTCTATGCGTATGTACACATGTAGAGAGAGAAGAGATGTAGAGAGAGGATGAGGTGGATAGAGTCGATCTCATTGTTCATGGATTCTTCATTTGTGGTTCACCTACTCGCGAAAATTTACTCGTAACCCCAAATCACTGCTTGTGACGTGTGCACGGTCACACGAGGACATGTGCAGAAAGCCCCGACCTTGAGATGCCGCCACACACCCCTGGCTGACGTGGAACGAGGCGGTGCCTGCCTTCTGGTTTCAGCCCCCAGATGTGAGCGTGTCCTTTCCACCGTGTCCTGACCTCTAGCGCCTAATCCCCAGGGGAAGAGGCGCTTGAACCACAGAGAAACCCCCTAACGCGGTCCTCCCGCCAAGTGAGCACTGCCCTGGGGCTGCCCCGGCTGGTGCCCCCAGGACGGTCTCAACACACTTACCCGACACCCTCCACCCCTGCTTGGAGACCCAGGGCTGGGGCCTTGTCCATCCCACTCCCGCTCCCCTGGGACACAATGGACCCGCTCTGAGTCAGATGCTCTGGGAGATTTACGAGCTGCAGACAACATCCAGGCAAATAAACATCCCTAATGCAGCCTGGGAGCCGGAACTAGAGGCTTGTGGGGCCTGGGACACAAGAGCCAGGAGGGTATAAAAGTCGTCAGCCTAAGGCACCTCACACACTCTCACACACACTCACACACCCACACCCACACCCACTCCCTCCTCCAGCCCCACCACCCCCGCCATGGCCGCG